ACCTGCCACGCGCTCTTCCCGGCCCTACCCGGCAAACGCATGGGGACTGTCATGGGGCTCTGAACCGAACTAAGGGGCTCCTCCAGCCCAGGCGCACAGGCTAGAGCACTGATGTAAACACAGGTACATGCTCACAAGTACTGAATGCACATGTTTACAGATGCACTCGTGCGAGACCCACATTCACATAGCACAGGTGCGGGCACACCCAAACGGACACAAGGACACATCCTCAGGACCCTTCCCCCAGATGCTAGCTACACACAGGGGCACACATGAATGTCACAGTTACTACATGAATATAGACACACAACAGCATGGACTCACACTTCCTACACACTATGCACACAGATGAAAAACAATACACCACATCCACAGTGTAGACACAAAAACCACAGCTTCCATCTCAAAGGGAATAAGATTATTTATTTTGGAGCCATTCTGAGTGGCCATGGCCTGGGAACCCAGACCTCGGTTACCCAAATTCCGTGTTGCAATATGGAAGCAGTTTCAGGAAGTTTTTTATAGTTTTACAGAACAGAGAAAGTCATAAATCAAGGCAAGTTTAAAACACATTAGAGGGTACACCAGCCAGGTAGGTACAGTGAGATAGGGGAAGTTTTCCTACAGGTTCAAGATGCTATCTGACAGCATGCTTAGCTTTTGGATTGGTAGAAGCTAGTTGTCCTGTTCAGTCAATAGATTCTAAAAGGTTTTTTATCTTTTGTCACAAGATGTTAGTTCAGACAAAGAGGGTCAAGGAAGGAGTGGCTGTTCTGGAAGACCAGAATTTAGCCCAAGATAAGGTAATTCTCCTCCGGATCTGCAACATTTCAACCTTTCCACAAAACTGAAATACTGATCCACCAGTTTCTGCAGACACAGGTTCCTTTCAGTTTCCCTTCACAGCCAGATGTAGCTTCTTTCCGGGAGTTTTCATTCACAACAGAGGTGAACAACACACCACACACACCCAAATAGGTAAAGACATATGACATTCACAAGTGCTTAGAACCCTGTAGAAGAAACAGACACATCACACACACACACACACACACACACACACACACACACACACACACACACACGCACACGCACTACATGAAACCACCTTCCCCTAGATACCCCAGGAGCCTGGTCCCACTGGCACAGCTGGCTGTGTGACTGTGGAGTGTCTGGAATCCATCCCTAAATTTACAGCCTGTTCACTGTGTCTTATGCCTGACACCTGACTACTGCACTTTCTTCTTGACCAACCACTTTGCAAAATAGCAGTATTGAATAGTGCCACTATCTAGGCATAATTGGTGATATCCACAGAAGTGAGGTTGCAGCAGAGCCTGCAATCTAACTTGAAAAATAAAAGGAGGCCCTCTGAGAGACAGTCTGGTTGCAGGCCATGCTGAGGGTTAGGGTGAGCTCACCCTCTGCCTTAGGCAGATCTCCAGGGCTTGGACATGAAAGACTGGCTAAATGACTTCTTGAGGCTGTTTTTGTATTTTCTAGTAGGCCAGGGTTAGGCAGCAGGCTCAGGGGAGGGGCTGGGAGCCTGGTCTCAAAGCTGGGCTGGGCCTATTAGTTACATACCACTGTTAACTTCAACTGTGGTTTACTGAAAGGAAGGGTGGCCAGATCCTGCAGCCACTGTTTCGAATGTTCCCAACACCAGTGTTTTGTGGTTCTCAATGGTTTGAAAGTTTTGAGAAGAGAGGTCACTGGAGCTATCAACAGGATCTCTCCTAAATGTAGAGTTGCTCCCAACCGATCACAGACTGAGAGTTAAGAGATTAGGGGCTGGGTGCAGTGTGGTGCACCTGTAGTCTGGTTATTCGGGGAGTGGGATTGGCCATCCCTAGAGGATATGAGTTCCAGGCCATCCGGAGCAATAGAGGTATTATGGAGTTCAAATCCACCAGGGAAAGACCATAGATTTGAACCAAATTATAATTAAATCAACTTACAGTTACTGCCAGCAGGCTGACAGCCTTAAAACCAAATTGAAGGCGTGTCACACAAAGAGGCCAGAGGAAGGGCTTTTAAAGGTAGGCACCACAATGACTGTAAGCTGAGTGAGAAACTGCTTTTACTCCCCTCAGCTGTGAGGAGCTCTCTCTCTCCCCCTGTACACATCAATAAAGGAGCTGTCTCACTCCCTGGTGCACTCCCTGGTGTTTACAAAAACCAGAGCAAGCAGTTAATTTTCTCACAGCACTTTTACAATTTTGGGGAGGGGGGCAAGGAGTCAGAGTTTCTGGGAACTTATCTTTTAGGAATTTAGAATGGGTGCACAGGACAAAATGGCATCTTCCATAGCCATCACAGTAGGACCCAGGGAGAGGAAGGGAGAAACGAAGCCAGTTGCCGTGCCTCTAATGGTAACTTCTTACAAAACTACAGGGCAATGTCACAGTGATATTGGATTTTTTTTTATAGTGTCTCACTCTGTAGCTCTGGATGGCTTGGAACTCATAGATACCCACCTACCTCTGCCTCCCAAACACTGGAATCAAAGATGTGTCCCATCATGCCCACACAACATTGGATTATACAGTCAGCTGAGACCCCTCATAGCACCTTTATAGCACATTCCCTTCCCTTTCCTCTTTCCCCACAACCTCTGGCAGCCTTGGCTTTGTTCTCTATTTCTAATTTTTTTTGTCATCTCAGGTTGTTTTGTAAATGGAATCATGAGGTAGATATGCAACCATTAGTACTTTTGCCATTTAGCACAGTCTGGATTATCCGGCTTTGTGGTCCACAAACCACAGAACTACACGGTTCACCTGATTAAGGAAAGTTCATCTGTGCAGTTTCCAGTTTGCAGCTAATACTGAATAAAGCTCCTGTGAACACTGGCTAGGCACAGTTACCCTCCCAGCGCACAGAATTGTTAACACGGGATTACTTTTGGTTCAAGATCAGCCCGGTCTGCATAGCTAGACCTTGTTCCAAATAAACAAGAAAGGAAAAGGAAATAGCTTGCTTAGTTTTCTAGACAGCTGATAAAATGTTTGCCAAAGAGGGCGTATCTGTTTACATTCCCACTGTTGTTGCCATGAAAGTAATGTTTAAATTTTTTTTAATTTTATGTATATGTATGTGTGCCTGGGTGTATGTCATGTGCACCACATTGTATACAGGAGCCCAAGTAGGTCAGAAAAGGGCGTTAGGCCTCCTGGAACTGGAGTATAGATAGATGGTTGTGAACTGCCATGTGGATGCTAGGAACCAAGCCCAGATCCTCTGCAAAAGTAGCCAGGGCTCTTAACTGCTGAACCATCTCTCCACCCTCTCCTCCCGATTTTTTTTTTTTTAAGCCTGTCTGTGTGTGTCTTATTTTTTTTTAATCTGCATTTACCTGATAGCTTATGTTGCCAAATGCTTTTCCATGTGCTTGTCTTCTCTGCATCCTAGTGAAATGCCTCATTGTGCCCTTTGACCACTGTCTTATTCATTGTGTGTTTAAACAGTTGAGTTCTGAGTGTTCTGGATGTATTGTAGATGCAGTCCTGTGTCAGATGTGTGATTGGCAAGTGTTCTCTCTTGATTTACAGTCTGCCTCTTAAGCCTTTTCAGAGGGTCATTTGCAAAGCAAAAGCTTAAATTTGGGTCACAAACAAATTTTCAGTGTTGCTTTTAATGGGTCATGTGTTTGGTGTTGAGAAGTCTTTGCTTAGTCCTGCACTTGGGAGTATTCATTCATATTCAGAGTTATATTGTTTTATATAAATAAATAAATAAATAAATGAAAGGATAAAAGTATAAATCTAAAATATTTGTGTAAGACTTGAATGCTGTTAAAAGTACTGCCTTGTATTGAAAGTCTGTCTACTTTATTTATTTATTTGGTTTTTCAAGACAGGGTTTCTCTGTGTAGCTTTGGAGCCTATCCTGGCACTCGCTCTGGAGACCAGGCTGGCCTCCAACTCACAGAGATCCACCTGCCTCTGCCTCCCGAGTGCTGGGATTGAAGGCGTGCACCACAAACACCGGGCTTTTATTTATTTACTTATTTTTAAGACAGGATTTCTCTGTGTAGCCCTGGCTATCCTGGAACTCTCTCTGTAGACCAGGCTGGTCTCCAACTCAGAGATCTGCCTGCCTCTGCCTCTGCCTCCTGAGTGCTGGGATTAAAGATGTGAGCCACCACTGCCCTCCTAATTTATACTTATATTTGTAAATGTCATGTGTTGTTTCTCTCAGTGTGCTTAGGTTAATTTCTAGTCTATGGTGACAAAATTGACTTTTGTTTCCTGGGCTTGTAATCTGTAAACTTGCTCAACCTATTTATTAGATATAATGTAGGAGGGCTCGGGTCTTGTTTTATTTTGTTTATAGCTTCCTTGGGGTGTT